CTACTAATACGATGGTAAACTAAAGGTCAATGCCTAAAAAAGTCAATATTTACCAGTACTGAAATCAGAACCGGCAGTTCCAGATCAACAATTTACAAACCCAACAATTTAAGGAGAACGACCCATACTGCAAGCAGAACGGCCCGTTCTGCAAGGAGAACGGCCTGTTCTGCAAGGAGAACGGCCCGTTCCAGATGAACAAATAGCAAAAAAAACACAGAAAAATTGCGTGGACAAGAAACTAACCTCAAACGACCAACGTGCAGACACTTAGAGACTTGGAAACGTTCAATGCACAAATAAACGCAGTGGGAGACTTAGAAAATCAGAGAAAAGCTAATAGATTTCGTATAAACTGTGAGCGCGAGAATGGAAAATGAGACGTTGGCCAATATAGTGGAATATTTACGTCGGATGGGGTATCTCAGACGTAAATTTACATCGGACTAGGGGGGTCCGACGTAAATTTACGTCGGTCTATAGGGGTTCGACGTAAATTCACGTCGGTCTATGGGGTTTCTGACGTAAATTTACGTCGGACAGTATCACTTCCGACGTTAATTCCCTAATTTACGTTGGACCCTTTGTTGTCTGACGTAAATTACTCTCCACATATTTACGAAATTGCCACCGCGTTTTTACAACGTCGGGGTTTCTCGTTTCCGACGTAAATTGGGTGACGTAATAGCCCTTTTTTGCACTAGTGTTACTTCAAAAGTAAAACTTACTTTAGTCAATAATTCATATTTTATATCAAATTTGAATATTCAACTAATAAATTAAAAAATTTTAATGTATAAATTAAATTTGTTAATATTTTAAAAAAATTAAAAATTATTTAATATTTCGTTTCATTAATTCAAATTAATGAATAATCATAAGAATATTTTATACGTTGATTTTAATTAATAAAATAGAATACACGTTGTCTTCTTCCATACCAAAAGTAAAACTAGTCATGAGTCAGTGAGAAAACGAGGAAAGACAAAAATGTATATTTCAGTCTCACATTGCATTCTCAATCACATATTTCAAATGGATTAAAAGCCATTAGAAGATAGTTGAATTGTGACACTCGTCAATTTATTTTCCTAGCTTACACACTTGAAATTCATTCTAAATCTTTTCTCAAGATTCTTTCTTAACTGTTAAAAAGATCCTGGAATAATGCTTGGATGAAATAACATGTTCAGCTGTACGAATTTAATATTTAGTATTCAAAGTTGGGTTTTTGGAAGCAAATTTCACAAACTAGAAAGTCTTAAATATGCTTGACAAGGTTAATAATAAATCATTTTTTTATTGAATCTTTTTATAAATAATTATTTATTGATATATACACTATAAGAAAATTGTTATATAGTGACACACATTCTAATTATAGTAACACAATATATGTCACTAAAAAATACTTTTATCCACATACTAAATACAATATATGTTAGTATATTTTTAAAAAGTGTTGATATAGACTATAATAATACACAAAATATATTGTTAAATCATATTCAAAATCAGCACTAGTTATATTTCAAAATATATATATATATGTTAAATAAATATATATATATATATATATTATATTTATAGTGATATTTTTTGTATTTTATTATATATAATTTTTTTTAGTGATAACTTGTTTAAATGATAAAATCAATGTTTTTTCTCCGTAAAGGTTTGTTCAGAAGTAAACTAATTATTAGTCCAAAAGTTATATATAAACAATCAAAGTTCACGAAGCTATTTGGGTCAAAATTGGAATGAGGTAAAAGATAAGTTAAAGGACAAGGGTTTGCAAAATTCTCTTCAATTGAGTTAATCTTTGTGCTATATTCTATGTGGAAATTGGTTCGAAGAGAAGGCTTGGTGGAATTCTCTTGTTTTTGCAACAAAACCAAAGTAATTTTAATGAATAAAAAAAGTATATCATGGAGACTGACTAATTAGTTTCCACAACAATATGAATAGCCATCGTGTAATCTTTGAACCATATAGAAGCTTCGGCTTCATGTTTGGAATGAATGGACTTAATACCGTGTGTTAAGCCAAATTTAGTATGAGGAGTGTTTGATGGGTTGCTAGCACAATAAAAAAAAGTTTAACTTTTTTTTATTAATTATCTTGTTAACTTTTTCTTGCACTAATTGTATTAATTTTGAGTGATATGATATTCTCATAATTTGTTTCGTACCTCTAAATTAATCAAATTAATGAAATACATAGACAAAAATACCAATTGTATAACAAAGATACTTTAGTTACAAATGAGTTTTTTAAACTTAGGAGATCAAAGTAAAAAATAAAAATAAAAATAAGAGATTAAAATCTATTTACAAAAATGAAGAGAAAAAGATTAATTAGAAATGTAATTCAATTTGAAATGTAAGTTGCAATCCGAAACTTCCAAGTACATATTTCCAAAAAAAACACGTAGACAGCCATATCAGTTAGCTAAAAAATCGAGGTTGATTTAGTTAAAATATTTTATTTTATTTTTATTCTTTTAGTCTTTATAATAGAAAATAAGTATTTTTAATTTTTATATTTAAATATTTTTATATTTAATTTTTTCAATTATTTTTAGTTTTCATAGTTTAATATATATATATATATATATATATATTAATTTTTATTCTTACATAATTTGTCTTTATCATTAATATTTTTTAATGTTATTTATTTTGTGTTGATATATAAAATTCAATTTTATGAAGATAGAAAAGGTATCTCAACAATGAACATTAAAGATAGATATAAAAAAAATATGTAAAAACATTGATATACTTAATTTAAAAAATTTAACAAAAATAAATTCAACATAAAATATATGAAATTGAATTAATACTTTAATTATATCAAAATATAACAAAAATAAATCAATAATAAAAATTAAAAAAAATAAAAACTTATAAATAAAAAACTCATTATCGGAACTAAAATTAAAGAAAGTGAAATAGTAAAAGAAAAAAAAATAATTTATTTCTCATTGGTATATCATTCCACACCCGATACCGAAAATTCAAAACACTCATGAGTGCACACTGCACACTGTATTCAAACTTATATGTAGCAGTCAGATTTGTCTGCAAGGGTTAAAATTGGCACTGTCAACAATGCTCAAAATCAGTATGCCTTAAAATATTACCAGTGGATAGCTACAAAGTCATAAAATATTAATAAAAACATGTATAATTTAATGCTAGGGTTAGCGTTCAGATGATGATGTTTGGTTCATGGTAAAATTAAATTAATGTATAGTTTGAAATAGAAGACCCGAAAGCGTGGTTGAAATATGGTCAACAATAAATAATACATTATAGTACATGTCCTAATGTTCAGTTTCTTTTCTAATAAAAACAAATCCTGATGAATAATCAAAGGTTAAGTAGGTGTAGCGTGCATCGTTTGCATTCTTTTGGAGTAATCGTCTCATCATTCTGAACTAAAACAAAATATGGGAATAATTTTATAATTTTTATGCAATATGTTCTTATAATTTTTTACTAAATCAAAATATTATATATATTTCGAAAGTTTTACAAATATTTGTTTTTATTCGATACTTACTTTATAAAGTATTAAAATTTATAAGATGATGTAATTAAATGATGGAAAACTAAAAATTTATAGCATTACTTGCAAAAAAAAAAAAAAAGTATTTATGAAGCACACAAAAAGCCAAACACTTAGTACATATATTTTAGTTGGTACAGGATGAAAAGAAAAGACAAAAAGAAAGAAAAGAAATTAAATACGGGTATATATGTTGTTTAATGTTTATATAATAGCGTAATGTTAATTACTATATGGAAAATAAAGATATTGCTAATAAACGTTTTATATACACTAATTGAAAATAAAAATATTAAAAGTACACTTTTTAAAACTAATAAAAGTGGGAGGTGATTTTGTTTTAGTTTTAAGTTTAATCAATAATTTCAAGTTGAATTTTTAAACATTCAATTATATTAAAATATTATTGTTTATAATAAATTGAGTAGAATTATCTACATAATAATCATCATCATCATCGTGTTAAAAATGTTTAAAAAAGTATTAATAATACTTTAAAAAAAAATAATAGTATTAAAAATCTAAAACAGTCGTAGTTTCCATTAACTATTTTTTACAATAGAATAGACGAGGATTAAGTTTTGAAACATATAATTAAAATTGAAGTACAATATAATTTCAATGTTAATTTATCAAAAATCTGAATGATTTGAAACCATGTATATAATTCCAATTTCAAATGTCGATTCACTCGGTTCAATTTTTAAGGTGATGTTCTAAATTATACCATATAGTCAATGACATGAGTTAATTTTGATGTTTCCAAAAAAAAATGTCTCAACTGAATTGAAATACCCAATTTCCATGGACTAAATTATAAACATTTAAAAATTTTAAAGACTCATTCCTTAATGCTTTTTAACAAATAGGTCCCACCTAAATTGTGTCTTTGCTAACTTCTTGTTGCACAATGCACCTACTATAGAAGATCTAACTTACAACACAATGTTTCATAATATATGATTGGTAACGACCCAAATACACTTGATCAATTAAAGGAGTCTCATATAGCAAGGGAAAAAAAAAAATACTAAGCTCCAATCAATCATGGATCATAGATACACTCCTGAATCTGAAACAGCACTTAGTTTGACTAAACACACGGTTATTGCTATCAACCCTCGTTTTTTATATACTAATTACTGTTGCATGAGACACGTGTTTATATTCTAATAAAATAAACCAAATAAAAAACTACAAAATTAAAACCAAGCAATCCCTTTGCAACACAGATTCCCTCGGTGTGATTTATAGAATATATATTTCATGTGGATATGATTATACACGCTTATGTGAACTCAACCATGTTTATCCATTTGTTTATATTAAAAATGATTCACTCTCGATTAACACGTCACGCGATAGTTGTTAAGACCATAAAGAAGAAGAAGAAATAATAGTAAACGCGCACTTATGAAGCCCCTGACGTTTGAACAAACGGATAAAAGAGAAACAGAAGAGTGAAAGCTAACGTCAAACCTTTCTATTTATACACACCACACACCTTCACTTGGACGAGGCATCGTTGTTCTTGTTCGTTTAGAGACACACAGTGCCAATCTCAGAGAGAACACAAATGGATGAAGCAGCAGGAGCTTCGGTTTACGCTGCCATGGCAAGTTGGTTCACACCCTCGTATCTATTCGTCTTCATCAACCTCGTCATCGGCACCATAGCTATCACCACTCGTTTCGCCAACACCACAGAAAAGCATCACCAACACCAACACCAACACCTCCACCGTTCTCCCTCCCTGCTAGAACGCATCGCGTCCTTCAACTTCCGTTACCACAAGCACGAGCAAATATCAACAACGCCTCACGACGTTGTTGATCCGGTCCAGAGTCTGGACTCGTCTCAACTCGAGCGGGTTCCGTCTTTGTTGGACCGGGTCAGGTCATTTAGTCTCGACTTTACAAAAGTCGAGACTAAAGAACCTGTTGAGCCGGTCCAGAATTCGGACTTGCTCCCACTCGAGCGGGCTCCATCCTTGCTGGACCGGATTAGGTCATTCAATCTGAACTTTACAGAAGCTCAGGTTGAAGAACATGATGAACCGGTCCAGCAGCAACTGAGCCGTACTTCGTCCCTGTTGGACTGTGTAATGTCTTTCAACCTCGGCTTTATAAAAACTGAGGTTGAAAAACCTGATGAACCGGAGCCAGCTCAGCAACAACTGAGGCGAGCTCCGTCGATCCTTCAGCGGATTAAGTCTTTGACGTTTGAAAGATCGGAGTCGGTGAAGGATTCACATGAGGCTGAGGAAAGGGAAGAAGAGGAAGGGGTGGACGCGAAGGCCGATGATTTCATCAACAGGTTTAGGCAGCAACTGAGGTTGCAGAGGCTTGATTCTATTCTACGTTACAGGGATACGCTCAAACGAAACTGAAGTTAGAACAAGAGAAGAAGAACCCTTTGGGTGAAAATATATTATTATTTCAAAGAATCATTCCTTCGCCACCAGCTGCATGAACACGAGAATTCGGCTAGCTAGGCTGTTGTGTGTTTGTAATAGTATGGTGTTTTGCACGGCTTGGAAAACCGTTGCTATTTCTTCTTCTTCTTCTTTTTCTTCCGGCATGAGTAGTTTTGAACCGATGATAGTTCATAAAGTACAATTAGTTACATTCACATACTGATTGGAAAAAGTTTTTGGTTTGCGTTACTTCCTTGCAGCAAGCAAAGGCATATGGTTACTTACGTTAAATTAGGAAAATTTTTAACTTCAGAATGGGTGTTACGTTCGAGGAAAAAGTGAAATGAGATGTGAACAATTTGTTTCGAATAATGAATATGCATCACAAACGAATATGAACCACTCTTACTCCATCTTGCGTTGAGACCATGAAATCTATATTTAATTACACGCAGTTGTAGCATGCACTTTCTTTACCTTTTTATTAATTTATTTATTTTACCATTGCCATGTTCCTTGCGCGGCTGAATCTTGGTCAAGAAGGGTCTACACGATTCAGATTACTAAATACTGCACAGTCAAATGTTCACACGCTGGAACTTTTTTTCCATTCAAAACGTACGGAGGAGATTTAGTTTTGATTCACGAATGCAAGAACAAGTTAAGAAAACATTTCATATTAATTGTATAACCTAATTACTCAAATTTGTGCGACATCTTTATCACATTTAACTCTATTTTTTCAACGAAATTACGAGAATTTAAAACATTTGCTCTGTCATTTTTAACTCTAATTTTTCAACGAAATTACAAGATTTTCAAGACTTATTGTTGAACTCGAAATAAACCATTCAAGCACTGTACCTCGGTTGACAAATGACTATAACAACATTGAATACTTGCGAGTAAATGTTGATAATTACAAAACAGTCATGGATGCAATTGTATTCTTCCTTCATTTACGAATACGAATATAAAACAACAACAAAAAACTATAAATATTAGTTCAAATATTAATATTCTCGTGGAAATACCCTTTGTATTTTCGATTATATTTTCACTGACTTTATTATTTTTAATATTAAGCTTAAATAAAAAGTAGTTCAAAAAATAATTTATTTTAAACAATATTAATAAAATAAAATGTTAAATAACTTCTTTTAATACCAAAGAACGGTAACACATAATTCAACACTTATATTTTCTAGTCAAAAATTGAAATTAGATCTCTAACTTAAAAGAAATCATGACCAAAGGTACCACTTAATTCATATAAGTTACACTTCCTTATCAAACAAAAAAAATTATAAAAAACTTTTTTAGCTAGCATAAATTATTTTTTTCCCCCTTATATTCTATACAGTTCTAGATTCGCCTCATAAAAGGAGACGCCTTCAATTCTCCATGGGAGTGGGTCACTCCCCGTTCTCCCCTTCCTCCGAAGTCCGAACAGACATGGTAAATGAAAAAGCTTAAATATTTTAAATTCTGGTTTTATGTTCAGACCCTAAACCTAGATTATTCTAAACCCGTGGAGGAAGATTCCACGAGACATGTTCGATGAAAAAAATTATGCTTGGCAATTAATGCAAGCAGAGCGTTATTCTCGCAACTGCAACTTAGCATTCCTTCGATGACTAAAAACCTCAATGAAAATACAAAAATGATGCAAATGAGCCTTTTCTTCCTTTTGCCTCTACACACCCCATTAATTGAATATGATAGTTCAACCAAAACTACATATGCTGATGTCCACCAGGGCCACACTATGTTCTTTTTTTGGGGAATATTAGGAAGGGGGGAGGGGGGATTACAATAAATAGAGTCTGGCAATCAGTCAAAGTTTTAATGCCAGGATATCAAAATCAAGCAGCTGGAACCTTTCTCCCATCTTCTATAAAGAAAATTGCTGCTTCTGGAACCTGCAAGAGAAAGATATAGATTTTAAAAGGAACTAATTGCATTTATAAAGAGCAAGTGACCTGTATAACACAGAAAAAACAGTTTTGGAAATTGGATCAACAACAGGATCAATTAGAGAAAAGACCATGGAACACCTCTTATAAATATAGATTCATATTTATTTTGCCATTCGTACTATACTAGGATAGCTTCACACTGGTATATTATGTCTAACATAAGCATAGGAAATGTTTTATGTTGATTTTACCCTATTTTTGGATGGACAAAAAGAAAATAGTAAAGAAAATATCTTAATTTAAAATTTCCCTTGTTTGATTTAAGAGAAAATAAAAAAGAAAAATAGAAAGAAAAGTCAAATCTTCAAGTATTTACTTCATTTCTATTCAATCTCGTGGAAATTTATATTTAAAAGAAAAATAGAAGAAACCCCAACTGCTTTTTCTTCTTTATTTGTCAGGGAAGGAGGGGAGTTATTATGATGGCAGCTCCTATTGTTGTGAAAATTTCCATAACACAAAGCATATAGAATCCATTTCAAAAGATTCATATAGCTAAAACTAGATTAGTTCACTTTTGTCTTGAGAGAATTACATCATTAAAATAGTCAAACAATTGGGTCCAGAAATAAAGTTAACAAAAATAGAAAACAACTCTCACTATCAACATCTCTTTCAATAACAAGAAGCAGGCCTAGCTTGGTCAATGACATTTATAGAAAAAACCCGTGCATCTTTACAGCTAATATTTACAAACTCAATTTTAATCACCAAAGTCATCATCAGTACGAAAATCAAAATATAATTCTCTAAATGAGTTTACAGAGTGAACATTTTTGTTACTAATAATAGATTAGACGTAATAAAAAATTACTTAAGTACTAGTAACTTGGTTCACTGGAGGGAAAAGGAAACAAATGTTTTACGTAAAATATGTTCGCTTCATTATGTAGCATCCTAGCTAGGTAAATGAAATGTTCCACAAACCATATAAACTGATGTCAAAGATAGACTGCCACTTTGAACAACACATTCTCCTCACCAAATTTCTATAACCAAATTAAAATATCTACTAGCCTATCTTTCAAAATGAAGAAACAAATTAGAACATAAATTATATTACTGAAGCATGATATCTCTAATTTTCTTTTTTAATTGTTTATTTTCACTGGCTGCCAGAAATACATACATATTAAATCAGATTACAATGCCAAACAACCAGCAATCAAAATTACTTACGTCAGGCCAAGTATCTGTAATGAACTCCACGATGTCATAAGCTATATCCCCTTGAACATCAATTTGTTCTTTCTCAGTCGGGCCCTGAGACCAATCAACCCACAATAGTATTAGACATTATATCTATATATGAAACAAACTATACATGGGTGTTGGGATCATAGTTGTCAATCACAAAACGCAATGTGGAGGCAGAGATAGCAGGTAGAAGGATGGCCACTATAGTAGTTAATCCTTAAAATGCATAGAAAGATAGCAGGTGGCAGGATAGCCACTTTTCTAACCAATTAGAATAAAAAGATTAAGGGTAAAACATAGAAGAGAGCACAAAACAGTGTGATGAAAGACCTGTTTGAGAGATTAAAAACAGAACAACATGGACATGGGTGTTTAGATCATAGTAGTCAAACATAAATAGCAATGTGAAGGCAGTGCGTCTGACACTTAAAATGCTATAGTGAGATACAGGTAGCAGGATGGCCCCTATTCTAACCAATTAGAATAACTTAGAAGAGAACACAAGACAGCATGACGAAAAACCTGTTCGAGAGATTAAAAAACAGAACAACAAAGACATGGGGGTTTGGTCATAGTTGTGAATCACAAATAGCAATGCAAAGGCAGAGAAACTGACCCTTAAATGCTATTGCAAGATACAGGTACCAGGATGGCCACTATTCTAACCAATTAGAATAAAAAGGTAAAACTTAGAAGAGAGTATAAGACAGTGTGATGAAAGAAACAGTGACAGGTTCACCAGAAAATGGCTGCAGAGATCTCAGGTATCATTGGAAACTATGGAAAGCAGAGGCTGCAGAGGTTGGGGTTGACCTACTGTCCCAGCTGGCCAGAAAATGCTGGAAAATGCTGGAAATGTTGCCAGAGAAGGGTGAGTATTTGTCAGAAAGGAGAACAGTGGGTATACTTCATAACAGTGAGCATGCAAGTGACTGAGAAATAGGGTTTCAGTTCTTAATCAAAGGAGGAGGCGAAATTCGGAATTGACAGCTCTAAACAACACTGCTTCTTGGTTCAAATAAGTTTTTTATGACTCACTCCAATAGAACCCACTACAGCTGCAAATTTCTGTGATTTGGTCCACTATCCCAGCCATGATAGCCATTACTTCAAACTGCAATGCTCAACTTTTGTAACATGCTCTAGGTACTCCGTGATAGAGCTACTATTTGGCATATTGACAACTATGGTTGGATTGGTTTATTTTGGGATTCAAAAATGAATTTTTGGCAACTTCCTAAACAAGCTTTAGAGAAAAAAAAAAAAAGTTCTTTTTCTAGGAAAAGCGGTCCCAACATGCATTATATGTACACTTTCTAAAATTCAGTAAACCTTGACAACAGAGGCTCCTGTAGCAAACTTTTTCCCAAGTTTCTTTGAAGCATCACTGAGCTTGACACCTGAAATACAACAAAAGAAACCAAATTAAACACCAAGCACACCAATGTATTAATAACTTACGCTATGTTTGTATTAATACTTAATAGAATGGGATTAATGAGGGAGAATGAAATCATGCTAGTAACCATTTTTTGGATTGTTTGAGATGGACTGAAACAGAACACATCTATTTTATCCCATTCCACCCTATAGAATGAATACTTTCCTCCATTTCATCATAAAATACCTATAAAGTGGTATGACAATTTAATTCCATCTTTTCTATAGATTCCACTTGTCATTACTCATTAGATATCCCAAGAGAATAACAGAAACAGCTTACCAAATAGTTCCAGGCCCTTCACAGTGGTGATACACTTTCGCTTGTTGCGCACAACCTTCTCAATAATAACCTCTTGCTTCTCCTGAAAACCAACACCACTTCTGATCACATCAAATTACCGGGAACCACAACATTCAGCATCAAACACCAAGTACACTCATTTGAGAGGAGGGTCAAAGAATTCCAAGACATGCCTTTTTCTTTATCTTCCCACCAGGAAGACGTTTCACCTCTTCTTTCGGTGCTACAACATCAAAATCAAAACACACCATAAGCCTCGCACACACCAAAACCCAGCTAACAAACCCAACAAAATCACATCATTTAAACACCAAACAACTCATCTAAACAAATATTAACCCACTAAACTACCAATTCTGAAATTTATGAAACTTCCACCATCTTCAAAGCATGTTTGGATTCACATCATTTTTTGTTGGACATGGACCACTGGAAGCAACAATTAGTTACCTTTCCATCAATTTTGATACGATTCTTACTTAAACGTGGATCATAGATGTTGAACCATACATGCACTCATTCAAATTAAAAAAAAAAAAAAAAAAAAAAAACCTGAGGAAGCAGCTCCATCACCAGCTCCGGATGATATACCGGTACCTTGCAGCTTGTCAGCAACTCTATCAGCTTCCTTATCATTCGCCTCTGCACAAAAAATTCACCAATAATAACTCCCATTTAAAATCAAGATTAAATCCAAATGATCGAAATAATAAATAAAACTGTAAATTGGGGGACTCATACGGCAAATAAAATATCTTATTTTAAGGAAAATAAGGTACCTTTAATAAGATTAGGGTAAAGGTCAGGAACATTTTGAATCAACCAGGGTTTGCATTTATCGAAATCGGATCCGAATTCGCAGTATTCGGGTGGTAAACTGCACACCCCGCAGTACAGTACTCGAACCGGTTGGGGTTTGTCTGCCATTGTTGCTTACACACCAACCTCTCAAACCCTGATTCACTTGCTCAGTTTTCTCGAGAACGGGAACGGGAACGAAACGGCGCGTTTTCGTAACGCAGTTCTAGAGAAAAAGACGATGATGCGTCCTAAAGCGCGGTGGAGGGGAGGGATTTCACCAGAATGACATGATTGATTTATACGGTGTCGTTTTCGAAACCCGCACTAATCACAGTGAAATGTTTTTATATAGTGAATTATGTGAACTAGTATTATTTGATATGTAAAATATCTTAGATTATTAAAAAATATTTATTTAAAGATTATATAAATTTTTTAAAATTGTCATGCATTAACATGATATCATTAATCAATTGAGAATAACACATGAGACAATTACTTAATATTTTAGTGAACAAATAAGTAGTTAAAAATATTATATAATAATATTTTAGAGAAATAAAAAACAAAAAAAAAATTTCAAGATCAAAATCAAAATATACTAATTATGAAAAAGTCAAAAACATATTTAAACATAAATATTATACCTTATTTTCATAAATATTATTTTTAATTCTTGTTAATTTATTTTAGAATATTCTGTGAAAAAAATATTTTAAAATATCAAATTTTAATTTGAAATTAAAGATATTAAAAATAATTGATTTAAAAAGTAAGAGTTTAAGAATATTTTTAATTTTTTAATACTTAAAATTAAATATCTATAACAATAGATAAAGGGAATACATGAGTTTGGTTTCCACTATTTTTAAGACATTTATATCTTTTTTTAACTGCATACGCTTTTACTTAATTGTATGACTGTCTTGGGCATAAATGGAAAATAAAAATGTTACGTTCAAAAATCACATCCCTCTTGCTAGAATCTCTCTTTTGTTGAAATCACTTCTCTCACATTTAAAAAATGTAATCGCACATTTTAACTGCAAATCTCTTTTGCTTTTTTCTTCGTGTACCCACCAAAACACAATGGCACCAATGATAACAAATAGAAGTTCAACACTAGCCCGTAGAAGGAGATTATTAGATTAAGCAGTTGCATACGCAGAGGAACCAGGTTAATACTTTTTGGTCTTGTGAAAGTTACTTTTCTTTCTTCTCTCAATCTTCTGTTATTATTTTAAGTTTTTTCTTTTTTTTTTTCTTGACATAAGTGACTGCATTTTAATTATTTATTTCAATACTATAAACTAGAATTTGAAGTACTGTCGACAGTTTTTGTTTTTGTTGTGTTTTTGTGTGATTTTTTTTTATTTTTGCATTTTTGGCTTCATATGTCCCATTTGATCTTAAATTTAATGGGTTTTATATTTTGCATGACTGTAGATTTTGACCAAATTTTTTATAATTTTCATAGTGGTTTTTTTTTATTAATGGTAGTTTTTCTTACTTCATTGTGATTTCCAATTGTTATATTTATGAACTATTCCTATATATGTTGGGAGGTTTTTTTATCAATGGTGGTTTTTTTTTATCAACGGTGGTTTTTTATCAATGGTAGTTGGTTAGTTTTTATGCTTATATTGATCTCTCAAGGTAACAGGAAGGATATTTTTTAGGAGGTGAAACAAAATGTGAAACCAAAAATTAAGAGCACAAATGCATCACTTTTACCACGTTATTGTTTTCAATTTTGGTTCCACTTTTTTAAATCATTTTACCCCAACTCAACCTTCTCTAATAAAAAATAACAATACAAGGAATACAAGTAAAAAATTCATACGTTCATTTCTTACTCTATGAATTTCACACTTTATGTAAATGCACTAACCACCCTTTTCTCCTTTGATTTCCTTTTTTTAATTTATCTTTATTTTCTTTGATGGTTGGCATATAATAGGTTTTACTTGAATGGAAGCAAGTAGCAACCCTTTGGAGGCCAAAACAAATATTTGTGTTCTATTTTTTTTTTTGTGTCAAAAATGTAAAAAGATAAAAAAAAAAAAATAAAACAAAAAGAAGATTCAAAATTAATCTTGCATTGAAATTTCAATTCTTTATGATATTATTTTCTTTACTTTTAAATTTTTTTAAAAATATTTATTGTTTAGTTTTTTTTTTTTTTTTTGTAGATTCAAATTTAACTCACAAAGATAAATCAACATTCTTTTATTAAGTAAGTGAGTAGTTCTTTCATGTATATAATATATACAATTAATAGTCATATATTTAATTGTGTTTTAGTCATCAGCATTTCTTTTATTTCAATCTTTTTTCTTCTTCTTAGTTTGAGTGTTAGAGATAGATATGTGTTGGAGATTTAGTTAATGTGTACCGTTAATAGAAAATGCTCCCTGGAAAGGTATGTCAAACTACTTCCCATTTATTGCCTTTTATCCATGTACATTTTGGTGTGCTTTTCAATTTTGGATTCTTCCATTTGATTACTACTTAACTATGAAGAATTAATATTTTTAATTTCCTCTCAACATTTTGATTGTTATAGTTGTTTTAAAAGTATAAAATCATATGAAATTACATTTTTATTGCTAAGTTTGGTTGAATGATCAATACAAGAGTAAAGTCCTTATGACATTACATTCTTATTGTTGAGTTAAAATAAAATAAAATAAATAATATAATAGTTTGACCATTTATTTAAAATTAATTAATAATGGTTATTATATTTATTTATTTATTTTCTTACTAATTAGGTGTATAATTGTCCAAAAATTGTGAAAACTAAAAACGATTACTAGAATAAGTATTTTTTTTTCATATATTAGTATATATTTATCAACTTTTGAACAAATGCTTTTCGATCAAAAATATATTTATATTTAATATTTATGAAATATATCTATCAATTGAAAGATTATAAATTAACTTACTAAATCGTCATCAAGTGTGATTTTATAAGCATCAAAGATTACAAAGATTTAGTCTCTTCGCTTCAAATTATTTTTTAACAAAGTTCATGTATATGCCTTTTTTATTATTATTTAAGTCTTTCTATTTTTTTTAGTCAAAATGCATTTTAAAACTTATTTATTTAATAGATACATATAAAAATTCCAATATCTATAACTAAACCTAAATCGAATACAAACTCTTTGGTCTCCACTAATGTCTATTCAATTTTATCCATTAAAATTCAAGTTTGCTCAACTTCTTAATAATACAAATTTAAGATATCTTCATTTTCTTTTTTAAAATTTATTTAAAATTATAAAAATTCATTTTAAAACTTAAAATCTTAATACATTTAAAAATTTAATTTAATCATATAATCGTATTTCAATAAAAATACAAATTTAGAATATATCTATTTTTTCTTATTTTTAACTTTATTTTTTTTAATAGTTTTATAATTAAATAATTAATTTTTGTCCTTTATTCTCTATTTTATACCATTTCATTGTTCTTTCTTTACATAAGTTGAACCTAACACATGCAATATCAAGTTATATGATAGAACTAGATTTTTATTATTAATTTTAATTGATACATACATCATGAATATTATATGGTAGAATTTAAAATACAAATGTCAAGTTTTTGTTGTGTTTGTATTTTTTCCTTGCATTTTTGGCTTCAAAAACATACTCATATCAACTAAACGCATGATACAAAGGAAGTAGCGTGATAAGTGAACTTCAGTTCAAAAAATCTGTTATGATTTTTTCATATTCATTTATGATATTTGTCTCATATTATTCATTTTTTAACTATTTATTTATTGATATAGTTGATTTTTAGTTTCTATATTAAATTTTTTATTTAAATTGTTTTTCATGATATTAATTCTTGGAAATAGGATTTTATTGGAAGTTTAGAGAAGAAATATAGTCATTTTGTTCAATGTTGCTTCTTTGATGGCTTTGGGTATGTATTCTACCATATTTTTTTTTCTTTATTTATATTCTTTCTATTGGACTAAATTAAGTGCATGTTTAACTCTTTTTATAATTTTCAATATTCTATATGGTGGTAGACATACATGATTTGTTTACCAATGTTTTGAAATTTATATTGTATTTTAGTATATATAACATGCATCTATCTATAACATCTATAATCTATAATTTATCATCTTTAATTTACAATCTATAATTTATAATCTATAATTTATAATATATAACAATACATATATTAATCCTTTTGATCTCCACATTTAATTTGCTATTTTACCCTTAAAACATGTGATTATTCTACATAATCTATAACTTCTATAATTTATATATAACTTAAAATTAAGACAAAAGAAAATAAAAAGGTATTGGTCTCCATTTTACTTTATCCTATTTTAATCCTTATTGGTCGTAACTCTCTTTTAATTTAAAATGATAACTATTTTCTTTTGAAACAAGAACTATTTTCTTTTAAAACAATAACCGTTGAACATATATATGCTTTTATCTATTTTTATCTTTTCATTCTTAAAAATTCTTTCTCCCTGTTTCGTACATTTTTTTACATTATCACCCTCTACGATTTTTTCATCCCAATCGATTCTCAATTTTTCCTATATTTCAAACTCAATCACACTATATCTTGGTATGATTCATATTTCGAAGCAAGTTGTAATATATTTTAACTCATCTTCTTTAATGTTCCAATATTTTTTTAATGAATTTCTTTGTTTCTTTTTCTATTGAAATTTTAGTATATATTAAAACATGGTGAAGAACAATAATACTTTGATTGTGATAACTACATCATTAAGAAGTATTTTTTTTTTCTCTAAATCATCTTCAATTAAATATGTTAGAAATTATAATTTGTGAAATTGTAGGTATGTATGTCAAAATGAAATTTGAATTTGTGGAGTAAATGGCAATAATTTAGTTTTAATTTTGATTTTCATAATTTTTTTTAATGTTTTGCGTTTGCATCATCAAAATTTTACAATACGGTTGAGATCCAATACTCTGTGATCCCCTTTGCTTCTACTAAAGTAATTCCTCCATTATTTTCTCTGCTTTTCCTACCATTGATATTTTTTGGCATATAAGAAGTATTTTAAATCAAAGTCACCATCGATAATATCTTCATGTTTCACGTTAAATTTTAAAACTTTTCTTTCATTTAAAAAATAAAAAAAATGTGCTTCATCAATGAATAATGATCAAAATAATCACATAAATTATGTAAAATTATTTATATGATTATATGTCAACAAATGAATTCATTCAATCTATAAATTGTTTTAAATTTGAATATAAAATATATATAGAGGCACAAAGTGCCTCGATCTCGCTTGT